CAGCGTGAATGGCACCAGCGGGCAGTTACCTTCACGTGTGCCCCAGTCCAACCCAAACACCCTTCCTGTTACTGTGCTCAGGACCCATCAGGAGGAATAACCAACCAAACAAACCAAACCTGTTGCCTCTGAGTTGATTCTGACTCCTAAGGACCCTACAGGACAGAGTAGAACTGCCCCATAGGGTTTCCAAGGAGCGGTTGCTGGATTTGAACTGCTGTCCCTTTGGTTAGCAGCCAAGTGCTTAACCACTGCACTACCAGGGCTCCATCAGTAGGAATATGACCCTCAGATTAGAACAAAAGTTATTGGTTTGTTGTTCGGAGGGACCTCCACAGGGCACAAGACAAAGGTAGGACTATCACCGCAGAGCAAAGTAAAAGCACCAGCATCTTGTGAAGACCCCACTGCTTGGGGAGATGGTATTTCCCCTCAAATATTTGCAGATAGTGTGTGGAACCACTCTCAGCACAATCCAGTTATTTATTTCACTTTTGAATGTAAAGACATGTTTATTTAGAAAGCATATTAAGTAGTTGCCTATTGCATCCATTAAATGAATCAGCAGTTCACAAAAATATTTTGGAGAATGATCGCTTTCTTCTCTCTTTCTCCTTCCCTTTGTTTCATCAGCCGCCTCTGTGGAGGACGCTGTCTTCTGAAGTCTGTGGACATGTTTAAGTTCCGAGGACCGTCTACAGTTGGAGATCGTCTTGTCTTCAATGCCATTGTCAACAGCACATTTCAGACCTGGTAAAGTGTGTGTAGGGCTCTTAGGATTCTTGTTGTTGTTGTTGTTAGTTGCCACAAGCCGATTCCAACTCACGGCAACCCCATGTGTGCAGAGCAGTACTGCTCCATAGGGTTCTTAAGGCTGTGACCTTTCGGGAAGCAGATCGTCAGGTCTGTCTTCAAAGGCGCCTCTGGGTGGGTTCGAACCGCCAGCCTTTTGGCTAGTAGTTGAGTGCTTAACCATTTGCACCACCCAGAAATTCCTTAGGCTGCTATAAACTAATTAAACTTGCACATAAATAAATTTTTATTTTTACTTCAATCCAGGGATGAGTACAGGCACTACTCAGTAACCAAGTCTCTGCCAATTTTTTTCCCCCTCAAAACTGCCCTCAATCTTCAAAATCAGTAGACACACATTTTAATTCCTTTTTCTGCCTGTGGCCTCCTCAAGTAAATTGTGAGGGTTGACTCTGTCTCATAATGAGCATGACTATATGTCCTAGTTTGCCCAGGACATCCCACTTTGTACCTGTCCTTCTGATAAATTATAATGTAGTTATAAGTTAATAAAGGAGCCCTGGTGGCACAAACAAGTAAGCACTTGGCTGATAAATGAAAGGCTGGAATCTACCCAGCAGCTCTGCAGGACAAAGACCTGGTAATCTGTTTCCATAAAGATTACAACCAAGAAAACCCTATGAGGTAGTTCTACTCTGTCACATGGGGTTGCTATGAGTCGGAATCAACTCAGTGGCATCTAACAACATCAACATAAGCTAAAATATTTTGTTAATAAATATTAACTTACAAGTGTCCCAGTGACTGGTCAGCCAACTCATAATGGACCTGTCATTTACCACCATAAAATGCAAACTACTTCTCATTTATTTTTATAATTCTTATTACACAAAGAAAAGATTTAATTTAGTGGGTTTTTTCTTTTTAAGTGTAAAAGAGAATATGGTTCTTATCTAATTTCAGTGTTTGATTCTTTTTTATTACAAAATTACTATTTTTAGGGAAGAAAACTTTAATCCCACCCTATCACCCCTCTTACCAAAATATATTCATGAATATATAAAGACCCAAATGGCATTTTCCTACTTGTATATGGGAAGTAAAGTGGAAATGTTCCCAAGGGCTTGTGCAGACAGATCCATTGACCTGATAAAACGGGTTTTAATAATTGCACAGATTTGCAGACGACAAGGAAGAAGAACGAGGTGCCCTCATTCTCTTGGTTGCTCTGAGGTGGTGGTGTTGGTGGGTAGGAGGGCCTATAGGTGCTCTGGCTCTCTGTGCCCACAGCCCTGCGTGGTCCTGTTGCAGTGTTGAAGTTGGAGTGCGCGTGGAGGCCTTTACCTGTCAGGAATGGTCTGAAGGCTGTGGCCGGCACATCAACAGTGCTTTTCTTATTTATAATGCCGTTGATGATAAGGAAGAGCCTGTCACGTTTCCCAGAATCAAACCCATTTCAAAGGTCAGTTATTATCACCTGAGGTTCAATAATCAGACCACTTATTCTGGGGGAAGCTGTGGGTACAGATGCTCTTCCCAGAATCTCCTCGCATCATCAACAACCTCTATGGCTACATCCCTTTGATTTTCTTCCTTTTCTGCATCATAAAGTAAAATAGACTTTTTTTTCACAGTGATCATTTGTTGAAATGATGTGGGCCCTTAACTTCACCTCCACTTGGCCATGCATTCCTGTTAGTGGTGTCCCCTTTCTGACTCCCTCTCTCACTTCTTTACACCCAGTTCTCTGTGCTGCTGTACATTTATCTGAACTATCTCTTTCCATCATTCTGGATTTGTGTTAGTGCCATCTTTCACCTTTTCTAAAAACTCTATAGTGAGATATATGCATAATTCTGGTTAACAGGAATGATAACTGTCCACTTTAAAACAAAAACTGAAACAGCTCTAATAGTTGCACTTTTATCCATGCATCTGCCTTGTGGGTTCAGCCAAGGCAACTCTGAATGATGAGGACAGTTGATGTAGCGCCAATGCATCCCAATTAAACCTCTCAACTGACTTAAGAGAGCACTAAATTATAAGAAATATATTGATTTTACTTTGTTTTTTCATTAAAGGATGATTTTAGAAGGTATCATGGAGCAATTGCACGTAGGAGAATTCGCCTTGGCAGGTAAGGGATATACAGGTAGTCCCCGACTTACTACAGAGTTCCATTCCAACAACTCTGTCCTAAGTCAGTTCTGATGTAAGTCACCTATCTCTCTTTTTTTTTAAGTATTCATTAGTATTCCCTTTTTTAATGAATATCTTTAAAAACCCAATTATTATTTGCCTTTGGGGGTTGGAAACATTATACATAAACTTACAGGCATATTTTAATACATACATACATAAAAAATACACAAATCATAAAAATTTACTCTGACAATGAGAAGGGTTGGACAATATTGGCATTTTGTCAGTTGCAGTAATAACTCCACTTGTGGAAGGTGTTGGATCATCTGGATTATTCCTGGGAATGGGGATGGCAGTTCTAGTCAGAAAATTAGTGAGAGTTGTCTGTATGGTCCTTTTCTTTCTTTCTTCATATACTTTGCAGTAACATCTCACTGCTTCCTGAATCTGCTACTGACTTCAGCAAAACGATCAGCCATTGGGTCCATGTTGTCAAGCTACTGAAACCCTTGATTTAGTTTAGAAAAACTTCAGCTAATCCTTTCAATGTAAAATTTTTGACAACTTCTCCCCTTTCTCTTCCTCATTATTTCTTTCTTCTTCAGCATTTTTTCCTCTTGAAAATCCACTAAGTTCTGATCTGTCAATTCCTCTTCTTTGTGATCTATGAACTGTACTACATTGTCCATATCAAGTTCTAAATTCAGCGTTCTTGCCATATGGACAGTTTTTCCACTGATCTCTTTCATCATATTATCTGATCAAATGCTTGGAGCATGTTCACATAACTTAGCAATTTTTTCCAAATCACCTGCATGCATTTTCCCATAACTTCCTCCAGGAAGGTACAATGTTCTGGATACACTGAAGAAAATTTTAATTCTTCCAGAAATCACATAATGTGCCATACCTCCATCTGTTGTAGCTATTGCCTGAGCAAACATAGCCTGTAGATGGTATGCCTTGAAAGTGGTAATTGCACCTTGATCCATAGGCTGAATCACAGCTGTTGTACTGTGAGGTAGATACACCACTTTCACATCTTGATTTAGATCATCTACGTGAGGAGGATGTCCTGGGGGCATTATCAAGTAGCAGCAGAGTTTTGAAAGAAATGCTCTTTTCAAGGCAGTAGGTGCACACTTCTGGGATGAAACATGCTGCAACATTGTATGTAATACATATTAGTAGTGATAAGATGTATTAAAAAAACAAAAACAGATGGTCGTAAGTGTGGTTCATCGTAACTTGGATACATGGTAAGTCAGGGACTACCTGTAAGGTATAAGAAGCTTATGGAATCTTCTGTTATCTGACATATTACATAACAAAGGGCTCTCTCTGGGTCTCTATATTATATACAGATACAGAACAAGAAGTTCTAATGTTCTCTGAGGCTGCGATGAAATTTATTCTTCTTGATTGTTCCACCAGCAAAAGCAGCTTTTTAATACTACTAATTCGGTTCAAGAAAAAGCCAGGGTTATTATTGTGTGTCAAATGCAGAGAAGAAAACTCTTATTTAACATTGATTTTTTTTTTTCCAGAAAATATGTTATTTCCCACAAAGAAGAGATTCCACTTTTCGTGCACTGGGATATAAACAACCAGGTGACAGTTTTATGATTTGGAGCTCTTCATGTGAAAATCACATTTTAAAAAAAGCTGAAATCCCCTTGTTTAACTGAATCAGATCATGTCTACACAGGTTAGCTGAAAAGGTGAATGATATCCACCAGTCAGTTCAAAATGAAACCATTCCAGGCTTTCAGTAAGTGGTTAGTAACCAGTGGCATAGCTGCCTTTTAAATTATACCTACAGTTCCCAAACTACACACATAGGATCTCTGCCATCAAATGCATTCAAGCAGCTCTACACATTGAGGTCTCTTGTCTTATCATAATTTGTGCTTAATACCATGCTCACAAGCTTGTATTTTTACAGAACAACAAGATATTAGTCATCTTAAAGTTTTAGACCATAAAAATTAAAGGGAAATCCAAGTTTATTTATTACATGTGGATTATAAACCATATTGAAGTACAGTCTGTCTTTGCTCAGATCACCAATTAAAATGATAGTAATTTCTAAGCATACAGTACTTATACTACCTTGTCTGAATTCTGAATTAAGAGTTTGAGATACTATGTTAGCTGCAGTTTAGTGCTAAACTCAGCATCAACATTTTGACTCAACGTATACCTC